TTCTTGAGATCTGAGCACTATTCGCCTATCTGTTGCACTCAGATCTGGGCTACCTAACAAATGGTTGAATGGAAGATGTGGCTATAAAAATATTAAAGTTATATATTTTTATATTGTTTTACATGTTAAAATAAAACGTGGGATTTTGGGCGCTTGGAGATAATTAAATTGTCCTAACCGTTGGATTCATTATCTCCAAGCTGGGCAGTAACAATTTAAAATGACACATTGTAATGCCATTGGTCAACTGTTTGTATTGTCCCTGTATGCCATCAGGTCCAGAGGGGGCTGTCCCTGGACCTGGGTTCTTGCATAAATTGCCATGCCTGTGTGCCATTAAACTCAGTTCGTTTTGACCCTCAAATCGCAGCTTCGATTCATTTTGTGTGGAAACGAATCATCATAGCTAGTGGGATTGCTTTATAATCACAGGATTCTCGTGGTTTGCTGATCGGAACGGCTCTTCTCTCTCTCCACACTCGGGAACCAGGACATCAAAGCGGTCCAGCCTTCAGCTAGCTTGGAGGTAACCATAACACTTACCACTCCTACTTCACATAGAGACACCCCGTAGGGTCCCAGATGATTCCCCCAGTGCGCTAGACAGAATTCCTGATAAGCTGGGGTCCACTGGTCTCGATGATATTGGACGTCTCCAGGTCCCTCCAGTAATTGTGAAATTGCTCCAAGGTGCTAACCCACCCCAAAGGCCTCAGTACCCCCTGAAGCCTGCTCAAGCCCTCGCCATCTCCAAACGGGTTGAAAGCCTATTAGCAAAAGGTGCTCTTATTAAATGTGAATCTCTATCGCCTTTGTTTCCAGTAAAGAAGAAAACTAAAAAGGGTGAGCCTGACCAGTACCGGGTGGTTCAAGGTCTCCGCGCTGTCAATGATGTCACTGTTCTGGATCATCATACCCAATCCTCACACTCTTCTATCACAGGTACCTCCTACAGCAAAGTTCTTCACTGTGATAGACCTGGCAAATGCCTTCTTCAGTGTACCTTTGGATCCCTCATGTAAGTACCTTTTTGTATTCAACCATCACCGCCAGCAGTATACTTGAACTGTCATGCCTCAAGGAGCACAGAATTCACCAAGTCAGTTTGCAAAGGCCATGTCAATCATTCTGGAACCATGGCAAAAGTTTCACACTGATGTGGTTCCTCTTCAATTTGTGGATGACCATCTCCTCTGCGCAGATGACCTCCCAACTGCTGAGCGTACTTCAGAAGACCTACTCTGCTTCCTGGCTGAACAAGGCTGCAAGGCCTCCAAAAAGAAATTTCAATGGTGCCGGCCCTCTGTGGTCTTCTTGGGACATTGTCTTTCCCATGGCACCCTTCATCTTACCCAGGACAGAGTGTGAGGAATCACATCCATCTGCCCTCCAACAGCTCACAAGCCCCTTCATGCTTTCCTGGGTCTCGTCTCTTACTGCAGAGCTTGGATACCTGAAGCCTCCACTCTCATGATGCCTATCTCCTGAGGCTCTCAACAGCTTCTATGCTTTTCAACGTGCCATTGCCTCTCCTCCTGCATTGGGCCTGCCTAATTACCAGAAACCTTTCAAGCTCTTTGTCTCAGAAAGAATGGTACATGCATCTGGTGTTCTCACACAGTCTCATGGTTCCTGCCAACGTCCTATTGGCTACTACTCATGCCAGCTGGACCGAGTGGCCAGAGGAGGATCCTCCTGGCTCCGAGCAGTCTTTGCAGCCAGTGCTCTCCTGGACAAGACAAATGACCTTATTCTTGGTCACAAGCTTACCATTCTTGCACCTCATGATATCACAGCTATTCTTAATCAATCCAGCCAAAGCACCTCACTTCTCAAAGACATCTCCGCCTGCAGACAGCTCCACTTCTGCCTGACAACGTCACTCTGCAAAGTTGTTACTCTCTCAACCTGGCCACTCTTCTGCCACTTCCTGGGGGGGGAATACCACACTATTGGTACAGCCTTGATATAGATCCGGACATCCTTTTTGAACTACATATACGGAAACCCACAGTTCCACATGATGAACAGCCACAGCATTTCCTGCATTGAACCCTGTGGTTCAGAAATACCTCAGGACCAGATCCACACTACAAAGAAGAGCTGTTCAAGCTGGTAGAAGTACACCTCATCATGACAGACCTGTTTTATGATTCTAAGGGCAATTGTGTTGCCCTGGTCTGCCTACCTCTAGAAGTACAACATATGTACCATCATTAGGAGGTGGCTGTTCCTCATGTTTCCTTCACCAAATCTCCAGAACTCTTGTGGCTAAAACATGGAGCACCGCAGACCAAGACCAGCTTTCCGCAGAAGGTGTCACCAATCGAACTGTGAACTGCAAGACAACTGGTTACCCTCAATACCACTCAGAAATATGTGAAGATGCCCCTCCTACGTATCAAGATCCAGATGCTCATCATGACTGCTTTGAACAGATGAAGATGGAGACAACACATCTTCCCACAGTACATGAAACTGCTTTGCCAGACCTTGACTTCACCTTGTTTGTGGATGGCTCCAGATATGCGGACGAACAGGGAAGGTACCTCACTGTATTTGCTGTTACTACAGTGGATAAGGTACTCCAAGCATCCTCACTTCCCTCATCCATGTCTGCCCAAGAAGCTGAATTAATAGCCATCACTGTAGCATGAAAAATGTCTGAAGGAAAGCGCGAAAATATCTACACCGATTCAAGATATGCCCTCGGTGTGGCATATGACTTCGGACTGATCTGGAAGAGAAGAGGTTTTCTTACAGCAACTGGTACACCAGTCAAGCATGGCACAGCAATCAGAGAGCTAATGGATGCCTTATTTCTTCCTGAAGAGATGGCCATAATGAAGGTAAAGGTGCCTTTTGTAACTGTTATTTTATGTGACAAATTGTCCTGCTTCCCTGTGTTATGGCGAAGCCTAATTGCCAGCCTCCTTCCTCATGACTATGGCCCTGATGTGTATGGCCCTTTAAGAACTGTCTGGGGACATATTGAGACTTTTGGGAACAATGCCCCTTTAAGACCGTGTTCCCAGCCCCCTAAAATACTTTGTTTGTGCCCTTTTCCCACTTGGTTCGGTAAATGGGGTGTTACAAAATGCCTTTTGTAACTGTTCCTTTAAATGACAAATTGCCCTGCTTCCCTGGATTATGGAGGAGCCTATTTGCCAGCCTCCTATGGAGCGGGTGTGTATGGCCCTTTCAGACAGTCGGTGGGCATATTGGGGCTTAGGGACTTTTATGGAACTGGTGCTGGCCCTTTAAGAACATTTTTGGGACAGAGAAAACAGAGAGACAGTGTCCCCAGACTTGTTGGGGACACTGCCCCTTTAAACCTGTGTCCCCAGTGTCCCCAGATTTGGTTAAAACCCTTTGTTCCTGGCTATTCCCCTCTTGGTTCAGTAAATGGGGCTTCCTGAACCAAGTACCACACAGGCGGACCACCCAGAAGTGAAAGTCGGTTGGGAGCCTGCTCTAGGTAAATTGCCGAATGCTGGGTGGCCGCCGTTCACGCAAACGAACACGTGGCGGCGCCATCTTTGTTCATTGAAATACGGTCAGCGGTGTGTGCAGCCAAATTCATGGAACTAAAATCGGCTGCACATTTCCGCGAACACCGCTGACCTGTACCTTCTCCCATACTGAACTTTCGGCCTCAGAGACTAAGTCCCATTCAGTGATTTTTTTCAGCCTGAAATAGACCGACCGCACAGCCCAAATCTATGGAACTGTTTTGGGCATGAAAATGTGCTTGCCGTTCGTCATAAAGGACTTCCGTCTAACTTTTGATCTACTGAACGGATTTTTATGATTTTTGAGTATGTTTATATTTAAATGATGCTGATTAATAATATGTTTTATGGCGATTGGATGTATAGTTTTAAAGTTATAGTAAATGTGTAAAAACTATATTTTTACGGCCTGTGATAACCCATTAACCCATTGTGTACAGTAATTATATCACAGGCAGAGGGGAGGATTTTGTGGGAATGAATGGGAGTGTTTTACTGTATTGTACTTGTTTTATTGGTTGTTCTAGTGGGTGGTACTATGTGTGTAACACCTGCATTTCAAAAAGCCCTTTGGTGCTGATTAAAACAGATCTTCTTGACCCTCAACTCGCAGCTCTGACTCATGTTTGGAGGGGACAGCTATAATCTGTACAGGGATTGCTATGCTCTTTATACTCCCTTACAGGGCCGGACTGGGAATTAAAAGCAGCCCTGGAAAAAAATATTTACCAGCCCCATAATGCGTTGCGCCAGCATAGTGTGCAGATACAGAGCTAGAACAGATAACTTAAAATTAAAAAGTACTTCAACGTAAAAAGCGCACTCATAGGCTTCAAACTAAACAAAAGTGCAGATTTATTTTAAGCAGACGTGCCTTTGCATGTAATCAATGTTTCAGTCCAACTACCTTGACATATTAAGGAAAGCTTGTTAATGGGACTGAAATGGTGAATGTATGTAGGGCACAACTGAAAAAATGTTTATTTTGAAGTCCTGTGGGTGTGCTCTTCACTTAAAATATGTTATTGTGCTAGAGCAGGGCCGGTGCAAGGATTTTTGCCGCCCTAGGCAAAAGTAAAGTTTGCCGCCACCCCCATGTGACATCACAATGCTCCACCCATATGATCTGTCATGTTAACTAACGCCAGTGCTGCAGTGCCGCCGTGTTTACATAAAAAGGCATGCAGGGACAGGCTATAGACACCAGAACTATAGACACCATTAAGCTGCAGTGGTTCTGGAGACTATAGTGTTTCTTTAATGTGAGGTAAATTAGAGATTAGTGCCACAAATAATATACTAGATTGCCTACTTACAACGAGATGAGGATGATGATGGGCTCTAGCTGCAGTCTGGCTCCACTGGTCTGGTGTAGAACAGGCTCTCTGGAGGCTGTTTGTAACTGTGGTCAAAAAAATCAATGTTCTGGGAGAACGGTAAGCAGCTCCATTTTTTGGGGGCCCTTTACACGGGTCTGGGTCCCAGGGTCCACCTTCATGTTCCACCAATGAGTTTGTTCACAGGGGGTGGAGTGTGTAGGGGATGTCCTGATATGTGTGTAAGGAATGCATTGTGTGAATCTGTGTTTGTATGTGTAAGGCCTGCAAGGTGTGTTTCTGTGTATGTACAGGATGCAGTGTGTGCGTGTGTAAGGGGTGCATTGAGTGTGTGTAAGGGGTGCATTGTGTGTTTCTGTGTGTGTAAGGGATGCATTGTGTGTAAGGGTTGCACTGTTTGTGTGTGTGTGTGTGTGTGTCTGTGTGTGTAATGCATTGTGTGTTTTTCTGTGTGCAAGGGGTACATTGCATGTGTGTGTGATGGATGTCAATCTCTCCCCCCTCCCTTGTCACTCTCTTCTCCCCCCTCTCCCTCCCTTGTCACTCTCTTCTCCCCCTCTCCCTTGTCACTCTCTTCTCCCCTCCCCCTTTCCACTCTCATTGCCCCTCCCTCCCCTGTCACTCTCATCCCCATCAATTTCTTCTCCCCCTGTCAATTTCTTCTTCTCCCCCCTCCCCTACCAATTTCTTCTTCTCCCACCCTCCCCATTTCTTCTCCCCCAGTCACTCTGTATGTTTCTTTCTCCCCCTCACTGCTCCTCTGTGTCAATGTCTCCCCTCTCCTTCCCAGTCTCTCTCTTCCCCCTCTGCCTCTTTCTTCCCCTCCCCTTGTGTGTCTCTCTCT